AAATTATATTAAATTAGCAGTGTACTGTAAACTCTAAACTTAGAAAAAAACAAACAATAAAGTGATTGTTATGCATTTTAAAATTATTTTAAATAAAAATAGTAACTTAGTATATGCAACCGTATACAATGCTGTGAAGTGGGTTGCGTACGAGTCAAAAATTGAAAAATTTGTAAACAAAACAAGTTTACTCTAAAATATCTGTTTTCTTTCAGATTGTAAGTGCCAATTTTATTAATATAAGTTTATTTTATTCGCTTGTTTTATGGAACAACTTTGTAATTAACATTAATTAATTACTTATAAGTCTATAAGTATTTAACCTAACTTTTCTGTTGTTATTATGTTGAACCCTTTTCCAGCTTTTTATTTATAGAAGAGACGATGTAATAAGTAAAAACTGATAAAGGAGAAGCTAATTAAAGCTTGAGACTGTGGCAAAACTTAAATATAACCTTGGAAAGCTGCTATTTACCCTCATGAATTTACCTCAAGACGCTAGCATGTTCTATAAATTTTCAGAAGTTATTGCCCTTTAAATATGTTTTCGGAGGATTACAGCAATTTTAAAGGTACAGAAATAAACATTTGTTTTAATTTAATGGTTTAAAATGTTTCTGCAATATGTACTTTTTAGCATTTAAGTGTTAGAAGTTTCTTTCACTTCGAAGTAACTAATTCTTTGCCTTTACGTGTTACAGGTGTTCATGAACCCGCTATATTAAGGGATGAAACACGTTGAAGTGGACATGACTACACAGAAGAATCCCTTACAAATAATTGTGTAAATAGTTACAGAAATTAAGGTCGAGAATGTTACTAGTCCTTACGATTGAATAATTTTAATAAAAAGTGATAAATTAATCGTTAGTGTATTTATTCTGCTTGGTTTTTAAGTACTTTAGCTTTTATAAAGTTACATATTAATATGTGAGTTATTTAAGTTAAGCATTTGTATTTAAATTAACATATAGTGCCATGTAAGGTGTACAATGTTGCTGTATTAATTCTTCTTATAAATAAATAAATCCTTTTTAAAGGTGTCTTTTTTCTTAAAATATAATAAATAAAAACTAAATCGATATAAGCAGTGAAAATCCTGTTAAGAAATTCAATAAAATGTGAATTTTTATTTGGCGCGAAATGATCTTCCGCAACTTATGCTCTCCTAATACAAATTTCGGAAATTTTGAATAATGCAAATTTTTGATCGTCAAATTTTTTGTTGAGCAGACCTCGTATTCGTGGCTAAACCAAAAATTTCGACTTTTGTATTAGGAGAGCATAAGTTGATTCGGGTCTTTTTGAAGATCCACTATTTTTCCAAATTTATTTATTTATTTATTTTTAAAATATTACGGATTTAAAATGAACACTCATTTCTACTATAGTTTAATTAAACGCACAAAACGCTTTTAAATGTTTTTATTATGAAATGGTAAAGGGGAGTGTAGTAAGTAAATAGAATAATATCGTAGAGACTCATCCCAGTACTCCACAAACTTCTTTCCACATTAAAAGTGGACAAAACATGTGTCCGATTCTCAAAAAGATTTTGTGGTGTACATGGACGATCCTCTTTGATACTACATGGTTTCAGTTACGTTTTGTTTAAATTCTCTGCATCCCACGACAGGGCCAAGATTGACCCAGGATTTTCCATTTTTGGACCAAGCATGGCAAATGCCTGTCTTTAGAATTTCACCGCCGGCGTACATTCATGTCGTACTTCAGTATTTGGAACTTGGTTCAAATTTGGTACAGTATCTATTGTTGCTCAATATTGGACAATCGTTAATGTACCAAAACTTGACACTTAAAAATTGGCCAAACATTGGTCCAGTATTGACAAATCTACGTATATTTCGTTGTCCAGCAGGTACTGGACCAAACTTGGCGAAATATGACACTAAAACTCCAATACCGGTAAACCAATGATTGGTTTTACCACTAATGACCCAGGTTTAGACCTGTCGTCAACTCCGGTATTTCGTACTTGGGATATGCTTCGATCAGTATCCAGATTACTATATTCACTAGAATAGGGATGGCGAACCTTTAAGTACCGTCATGCCATTTTTATAAAGAAAAGTTTAAGCAGGTCATAGACGTGCCATCAAATAATTTTATCTCTGTGATTATTAGGAAAATAATGATAATAAATAATATCAACTCAAAATTCTACAAGAAAATAGGAACATTTTGCAATGTTTAAATTATACGTGTAATTTAAATTAAAGTAAAATTAGTGTGACTTCTGTTTTTGCAGATTAGATGACAAATAACTTATGTTAGNTTGTTTTGTTAAAATAAAATCCAAACGTACAATCAAGTTTTTATTTTTATAATTGTATACAACATATCAAAATTATTTTACTACTAAAACAACATAGGAACATTCATTTATTCCAAAGACACATTTGATAATAATAAAGGATACTTAAAGTAGATTAATAATATACATTCAATTCCAAAATTAACAAATTCAGAATACTTTAAAGGAACGTATTAAGTCATACTATCTAAATCTTTTATATTCCTCTTCACTGTTAGTAAAGAATACTTCTACATGGTCCAGCAGAAACCTTATTCAGTTATCAACATCAGCTAATACAATTCCTTTTACTAACTGCATCTGAAACAAAAGAAATAAGTGATTAAGCTCTAAATAAAAAGTTTAGCTGATCTTTCAAAACCAGCAAAGTTCTTTGTCTGGGAATCTTACCAACGCTTTTATTTATTACTTTTCAGTAATAATGAAACCTGTGAAAAGAAAATAAATTAATTTAGAACAAATGTACAAAGTAAACTAGGTATTGTCATAAAAAAGCCCTACTTTGTATGGACGCATTCATACTTTAATAGCCCTTAGTAATTAGCAAAAATCATTGTAAATACTTAATATTAGCAGTAATTTATAATAATCAACTTACACTGTATGTTTACTCTTATATTAATAATCCAAACAGCAAGAAGGCAAAGAAAGTCAAAAAGGTACAGGTATGTATTCTGTCAGGGTGCCTGCAACATAAAATATTTTATTAATTATATAATTGATTAAGGTAATAGGAATTATCTTACGTTGCACCAACGAATTAATGTATTCCCTTAATAATTACTCTTGAATAATTTAAATTAATAACAATTGACTTCAATAACCTCAAATTTGATTAACATGAACTTAGCTGTAGGACAATACAACTTTAGTTGCGTTCAATTTGCAAACTGATCTTCCCATTTAAATTCCGCGTTGTTTTTTTTTTTATTACTATTAAACAAATTACAAATTACTTTAAATTCTGAAAATATTATTTTATTGTAAAGTTATTTATTGTACACTCAGACTGAAAATATATACGTGTAATATGCTAAAATGTTTCAGAACTTGGAGTAGTTGAAATGAAACAAACCAAACCTGTAGTGACATTCATTATTTTTGGTTGGTGAACCTAGAGGCACAAGTATTAAGTTGGTAATTATGCACAATTTGTCAACACGTGCAGTTTTGCAGTTAAAGAAAGAAAAGGTTATATTAATGATATTGTAAATTTTCCAATTAATATACAAATTAATTAGCACAAACCATTAACGGTTTGTGTTGATTAATAAATAAATAAAGATGGATATTGTTGCTGAAGTTCTTAAGAAATCGGCCGAAACAGCAGAAAAATACAAGCCTATTACAGTAACTAAGCACCTGGACTTGGAATACGACGTGGGTAGTTTATTGGCCGTGGATAAAAACGAATTAGATACAAAAGCCATAAAGTGAGTACTAAAAACATGTGGTTTTTGGGCAGTATTCATAGTGTAATTTTTTTTGTAGCAAAAACAAAAATGATTATCTACTGTCCCTTACCCGTGACAATGTACAATTGCTGTTAAACAAAGTGTGGGACCTACCAACAGAAAGGGTTGATGAAACAGTAGTCGTTCGTTTACCACCCTCAACGTTTGTTTTACCGAGATCTAAGCCTGTACCAAGACCTAAACCTTTAACTAAATGGCAGCAGTTTGCCCTTGAAAAAGGTATTAAGAAAAAGAAAAAACCCAAACTTTCTTGGGATGAACGACTAAAAAAATGGGTTCCTTTGTATGGATTCAAGAGAAGTATTGCTGAAAAGGAAAAAGACTGGGTAATTGAAGTGCCCCAAAATGCAGATCCATTTGAAGATCAATTTGAAAAAAGAAAGATTGCTAAACAAGAACGAGTTGCAAAGAACGAACTGCAAAGGCTACACAACATAGCAAAGGCCCAAAACATCAAAATTCCTAGAACTGGCCTATTAAATCCTGATGTTTCTTCATCTAAAGATGTAAGTTATTGTTATGTTATGTTATGAATAATATAGTGAATATAAACATTGTTTTAGTTGCAAGCTGCAGTTACAGTAGCTAGGTCGTCAACTGCTAGTTTGGGAAAATTCCAAGATAAATTACCTAAAGAAAAAGAAGCTAGAGGAATATCAGCTATTACTCCAGGAGCCTCTCGCAAACGAAAGTTGCCCCCAGTCCCTGCCACTCAAGAGAAGGAAGAAAATTTAGCTGTTTTAAATTCTATTTTAAACAAGAAACCTAAATTAGACATTGAGAAAGCAGTTAATCGACAAATTAATCAAGAAGAAACAGAGTAGGTCTTATTATTTTTTTAAGTATCATTGTCTTAAATTTAATGGCATAAATTGCTTTAAAGGAGGTCAACAGAAAAGAAGACAAGGAAGCCAGGTGGTAACAAAATCAATAAAAGTAAAGGAGGAAAGAAACCAAAAAGTGGGAAAGGGAAAAGTGCAGGAAGGAAGAGACGTTAACAGTTCAATATGTAAGTGTCGTAATTGAACAATTGACTTTCTTTAAAGTTTTATTGGTCATGAACACATTATTGTATTTGAAAGGACTATTTTAGAATCTTGAATATGCTTTTAATATTTCACCGTCAGCTTATCTTTTGCATTTGTCAAAGGGTGATTTTTGTTTTTCTGGTGTAAGAATAATTTGTGGCATCTCCCAGCCAAGACTGGGATCTTTGGCGACAGCCATATAAATAAGTGCACCTCGACCTGGCATTGGTTTTGCTGCCACATATGTTCTTTTGTCAGGTGACCATCTGCTCATGTATGTTTTTTGTTCCCAACCTTTGCCCTTAAAAAATATGGACATCTTAAAGCTTTGTAAATATTTTAGACGAAATTGTCGAAATCTTTGTAACTGTTTAATTTTTTCGTTTTGTATAAATAAATAATTTTTTTTCTTTGACTTAGACTTACTGCTCTGTCGTCATACTGAGGATAGCCAAGGTGCCCCTCGGGGCCTTCCTGGACACCCTTTTTGAGAACATTTAGCATATACCTAAAAAAGTGATTTCTGTTCTTTTTTACCACTGGATCTTTGGAATCGAGGGTGCATAGTTTTGATATCCACTTTGTACATATTTCTTTATCTATGTTCAGGAAAGTTTAATATTAGTGGTTAAAAATTTGCTTAATCGTAAATTCTTTGTAAATACAGATAATTTCTTTAAAAAAAAAATACAAAATTTGTCCCTAAGACTCGATAGTTACGAAGGCATTCGCGTGAATTAGTTATTATTTTTTGCTTTTTATTTTCAAACACTATGTTATACCTATGTAGTTTTGGGATCATTCTGTACATACATCTAATTATTTTACGAATTTACTAAACCCTTATTTTGTTAATTCAAAACGAGCGAGTTTGGTTTTGTTCGTATTTTATTTTTCAGAAGCATTAACTATTTATTTAGTTAATAGACTTAATTAGCAAACTAAAACGATTTAGTTTTATGTATATTATGTCAAACATTTTTAGTTTTTGGTAACTTAATAAATAATTAAATTGAAAAGTTTTGTTGTCTTTTCTTTTAATCCCAATTTATATTTTAAAAGTGAATATTTTTACTATCGTTTGGCTTACATGAAATGGTTCAGAAATAATCATTTAAATTAGTTAATTATTTCAGTATTATGTCTCAAATAAGCAATAAGTGTTAATAAATAAATTAACTAGTGTTGGAGAGGAGTAGATTTATCTCTTTAATTACTAATGAAACTTTATCAAGCCGAATATGCTACAGAGCGATGATTTAGTCATAAAATTTTTATTATGGAATAATAAAAATGGTAATAAATGCTTACCTTTAGTAGTTTTGATTTGTTTAACTAGGGTTTTAGAAAGCTGTAAATATCGATTGAATTCTTCATCGTAAATGCCCCTAAGTGCGTAAGTCATTTTTGTAGTTGCAAGAACACAAATTAATTTAAAATCCCCCCTTACTTATTAATTAAAAATGCGTATCGATCAAATAACTATTTTAATGACAGCATGATAAATGTTTTGTCGTCACCTAGGCAATAAAATTAGAAAAATAATTCCGTAGTAGAAATTTTTATGGTTCAAAATTATTGTCAATAAATTATACCATTTTTATTTGTTCTTATTTTCGACTAATATGAAAAATGAGTCGCGTAAGGAACGACGGTTGTGTTCCATATTTAAAATCAGAAGGGACGTTTTTGAAACCCATTCCCACAAGAGAAGGCTTTGTTCAGGGCAAAAGTTGGTACACAGGATTAACCCCCTATGAGCGATTGTTCTCTCATCACACATTAGCCAGTGCAAGACAGTTTGGACCTTTCGTACCACACAAGTAAGAAATTTAATTTTGTTCAAACTTTTACCACACATTTTCAAATAAATTTTTAATTTGTCCAGTTGTTTTAGACTTTATAAATAAATAATATGTTTTATTGGAATAGGTATTTACGATCAGAGAGATTTTGTAACTTTAAAAAGCAAATTTCTCTCAAAGGATTTTCAAAAAAATAGAATTAAATGTTCGATTTCAAAGTCAAATGACTTATATACTGAGTGGCACCTGTTAATATCATTTGATTGGAGATATAATTAGAAACCAATGGCTTTGTAATCGCCAATTTATTCTATCCTGTTACCCTTTGTACCTCTTATTTTCAAAACTGTGAAATTTTAGGGGCCTCATACCCCAAGATGATTTGGATTTTGTAATGGTAGCAACATACGACCATAGTTTTGATACATTTCAAGATAGAGTAGATACAGTGCTCCAGCCCGAAACTAGAGGAATAAACACGTGGAGAAGACTACGAAACACAAGAGATGTCCAACCACCCCGTGAGGCGAGAATTGCTAGTTCGGAAGAAGCAGCTAATAGATACAATTCGGTAAAAATTACTTTTACGAACAATACAGATCTCATTAGCACGCCAAATCCCTTTAAAAAGGAAGTCGTTTATTTTATTTTTTATTATTACAGTTCCATCCAGTATTAATAGGTGGTATAAAAGAAAGAGAGCATCCCCATCACATAAAACTCATGAATTCATCTCACCATTCACCCCAAACAATTGCAGGATATGTTAGGCAAGATAGGGACGGTTCCCTATTCCAATATTAAAGTTATTTTTAACATTTCTATCGTCTTGTTTACAATCTAAATAAGACATATTAATTGTTATTATTAATTAAGGCACAAAATGTGATAATTGATTGAAATTGTTTAAGTTCCTAAAGTAAAATAAAATAATATTGATATAAACCGCCGATTGTTTCATTCACCCCTTATTAAAATGAAAAAATATTTACAGTTACGTAACAAATTAAAAAAAACCAACGATTCTGTATGTACCCAATGTGTCATTAATGAAAAGCAATTAATTACAGATTAATGAAACGTCATTGTTTGTCAATTATTTTGTCAAAGGACAAAAATTTAGGGGTTGATAAATGAAATTTAGACGTCGCTGTTTTAAGGTAAGATGTCGATTAAATTCATAAAATTAAATGTAATTAAGGCATGTTTAAACACGATACCAATTATCAATTGGGAAATGCTTAAACAAAAAATCTGCGAATATATGATCACCCTGTATAATAAATAACAGTATAGCATGCTCAATAAGTTTCTATAACAGAGTCAATTAAATCATCCATTGTTTGTTAGTAACACTAGTAATTATAAAAATTGCATTTATTAACTGCAATAAAAGCGATTTTAAAAGAGCCTAACACACTTATTATTGTTTGAGAAAAAGGTTTAAAACTTGCTACATTTTATAGTAGATACTGTTACTAATTGTAAAAATTGCTTTTGTTCCCACTATTTATTTTACTAAATATTTCATTAATGAGAAAAACTAACATTAACATATTAAGCAAGTAAACGTGATAATTCGTCATTTAATACAAGTAATAAAATTTGAATATCGATTGTGTGATACTTGATTGATTTGCTAAAAATTAGTTTGGAAAAAATTGTTTTTGAAGCAATTTGAATGCAGTATTTACGATAATGATAGCAATATAACATGACTTGTAAGAAGTACTGTTAGCAGTAAAACGATTCGAGTGGTGACCATATGGATGAGAGCCCAGTGGTAGCAAAAGAACCATCTTTCACCCATTAAAGTACCTAGCTAAACACACAAGATCTCTACATTCACCAGATGTCGAATGACCTTGTCCACAAAAAATTGATCACTTTTCTCTGAAATTTTGCTGTAGTATTTATTCAAGTCGTTTAGTTACTCAAACAACATAAATCGAAATGATTAAAAATTGTTATTCGAAATTTTTATTTTTCTTCGAAAAAAAAAATACTTACTTTCTTTCGTAGAAATATTTAAAATCCTCATCAAAAAAACTGTACTAAGGACTATTTATTTATTAATAAGAATTTAACGTAAGAGGAAAAAATATTGATTTGTATATTTTTGTAGTAGGTGTGCTAAAGAAGATGGTCCGATGATCTAATACGAAACGTCGTTAATGAAAAAGAAATGGACGGAGTTCACAATAGACGCTATAAAAGCAATGTTTGTGGCAATTTTTTTGGAAATTTTCATCACAAAGCGTAAGTAATTGCAACATAAAAACAAGAAAGTAGTGAACCCAAGTGTGAACCTGAACCCTGGTCCTGAAACCTGTTCGCTAGTTGAAGGTTCTAGTTCATTCATCGGACTATTGACGACAATTTTTTTTGATAGCATTGTAAAATATAACTGTGAATACGTTTATGTAACCAACAATACACCCGAATATAGACCCGGTCACGATAACATCCTAGCTATGGAGAATAGGCTTGAATTACGTTTTAATTGTCAGTTATTTAGATCATGAATATTTCACTATCGGCTATGATTACAAGACAAAAACATTTCTTTTAGTCTTAATTCGCACATTTCTTTTAAACTGCTTAATAAACTCAAGTGAAATTTTACAAAATTAAACTTTAAAGATTAATCAATTGCCTTAACGAACGTCGAAAAACTTAATGACATTTCTATTAAATGAAAATATTGCATTGTCATACTGTCATACTAATTAGATAAATGGAATTGGATAAAGACTTTATTCAGATAGCTTTTTATATTTTTCTTTTATTGAACGATTACTTTAACATTTTATCGATTATTTTTAACGTAAACAAGTAAGACATACATTGATATTTATTAAATTATGCATTTTAATCGAAACATTACCGTATAATGTAATTTAAGGTACTTCGATTATGCGTATGGAAAGAAATTTCGAAACAAGTTCAAATATCCAGGTTATTCCTTTTCAAAACCGAACAGTGCGGTGATAAAACCGCCATTGCTGGGATCAATTTCTAAAAAATTACCGGACATGTGTAACGAAACCTATCAGTGCAGTAGCACACGTGTTGAAAGACAAAATCAAACCGAAACAACTTTTAAATCCTGTAAACGAAACGAACCGTCGTCTACGTCTGTTAAGGATAACGGAAACAAAAATGGACTAGTTGTTTCGACGAAATCTTCTTCAAGACAAAACATTCAGAAAATGTTTCTAGAATTAAATAAAAGTAGATCGGATCTTGATACCAAACGAAACAGTTCCTCTTCGTCCAGCAAAAACTTCAAGAAGAAACAGCAACATACTCTATTGAAAATGCTATTGCAAAATGCGGAGTACCCTTGGAAGAAAATCAAAGACAAATTGAATTTCTACGACACTTGTAACGGTAACAATTGTTCATCAAATACTTCAAATAACGTAAAAAAATCCAGAACGCCGTTCACGTCTCACAATCTGAGAAAAATAGAGAAAGAAGACGTTACTTCCATACCTCTAGAAGCCAATTATGTGGGTCACCTTTCTAATAACACCGGACACCTTTTGCTAGACAAATCAACACCATTACATTGTAATTGCGAGTATCATCAAAACGCTGTTACGTCTGAAGAGATCAAATGCAAAAGATATATTAAAAACGGCCTCAATAGGAGAGAGACGAGTCTCTTTCACAAACCGAGCCAAACGTTCGATTATAGTAAAAGAGTGAAGACGAAACCCGCTGATCCAGCGAGAAGATCTAATAGTTATCCTAATCAAAAATACAATGAGCACCCTGCAGGTTGCAATAATAATCCTCCTAAACATTCGGAGAGTTTCGTCAATATTTCGAAAGTTAAATCTGCTAATAGAGACGTTAATTCTGAACTGTTGCTGCACAAATCGTACAAAAATTATCTCGTGAATCCAGTTTTCGTGCACTGTAACAATCCCCAATTTCCTAATTTTGACAATCAAATAACCCTACATCGTACCGTTTCAAACCATAACCTCAAATCTTTCGACCAAACACAGGATAATGGTACAATTACCGAAGAAAAACCACACACGACCGTTAATATCAAAATTAATTTGGAAAACAAAGGTCAAAGTCAAAATTCCATTATTTACTGTAGCCAAGACGATCTATACTGCAACCTTTTAGTCGACCCTTCATCCCCGTTATGTTCCCATAACGCTGATAAGCAAAACGGGTGCCACCTTCGCTGGTACCAGTGCCAGAAAATGGCCCCATTTCATAAACCTGCATCTCACTGTGATAATACAACAAGCTACCACGAAACTAATAATACTGGAGTTAAAAATGTCAACGTAACTTCAACACAGAAGCCTGAAAGAATTAATAAAATGATACAGAATGATATCCATGTCAAGAAGGACGCGTACGTTCAAAATCCATACAGAGAAAACAAAAATATACAAACGGAGAAGTCTGGACTAATGACAGGAAACAAAAATACACCCTGTTCTTCCAGTAGGCAACGTATTAAGACAAACAAAAATATTTATTTAGTTTCTGTTAACAATAATCGTTTGGGAGCGGAATCGACATCCTCAGTCCGTAGAACCAGTGATAATGGACTGTTATCTTCTACGAATGATGCAGACAAATGTTGTTATCAGAATCTTTCGAGTCAATGTGATAATAAAGAACAAGAATGTGTTGAATGTCCCAAGCTGGTGCCCTACTCAATTTCTTCAAGTGACGATATCAATGAAACAGAAGAACAAGTCGAAATAATCGAAAAATTACAATCACAAAATAAACCAAACGAAATTACGAAATGTGACAGACCATACACAAAGTTATCGATAGATAAAAATATTGATAAAAATACATCCAAATGTGTAGACATTTTCTATAACTTTGAAAATAAGTGTAACGTTTTCCAATGTAAAGTATCGAAAACAAAATTCGTCAAGCCAAAACGAGATACGGAAAAGACATTTTTAAATCGTTACAATTGTAATCGATCGCAGTTGTATAAAGATATAGATAAATCTGAAATGGCATCGTCACTTTCAAGAATATCGAGTACCCAGATTGAAGAAAATGCCAAAGTTTTTTTAAATGGTCTAGAAGAAGCCCCATGGATCTGTATATTTGATGGAATTAGTAATTTCAAGAGTGGCAGTGACACTTCTTTAAACAAAAAATGTGAATACACTGGAAATAATAGTAATAATAATTTTCGTGCAATGTTAGAAGTAACAAATAACGGACCCAAAACGGAAAATGTTGAAAATCTTCCCATAATGGTACTTTTAAATAGTGAACAAAATGGTAACACTGTTTCTAATCTAAGTCTAAGATCTACCGTTGAAGAAGAACGTAATCAATCAAAATATTTAGACGTTGATAAGTGTTGCAGTATCAAAAATAAACCGGATATGTACAAAAATATTACCAAAAATTATGGTGCAATCGATAACGAAACGGGACATTGTGACATTAAAAAAGGCACCGGAACGAGAAGCCGAAGTATTTGTAGCATCATGGACTACATAAAACCGTTAAACAAAAGTGTCCAATTCAGTAGCGACTACATAACAAAAGACAATTTAAAAATCGGTTACATTATATCTAGAATCGAAGATCTCTTGAATGTACTAAACGACAATATCGCAGAGAAATTAAATAATGTAAAGAAAAAAGAGCATCAAACTACTAACCGAAATCATATACCTAAATCGTTTATTAATTTAACGAAAACAATGGAAAATAGTGATAGTAGAACTGATTCTGTATCATCGTGGGAAGAACCAGTAAAGAGTTCCAGCAAGTACATTGATTTTCAGAAAGACGCTAATAATAACTGTAATAAAGAAGAAAGCGTTAAAAAAATAAAAACAAGAGAACGAAATGTAAAACAACCCAATTCAACATGTAACAACACCGTTGTGTCGTTGTCATTTTATAACGGGGCAGAACAAAAGAACATAGACATTGTCCAAGAGGACACGTGGAAGACAAGATGGCTGAAAAGACTTTGCAAAAACTGCGAATCAAATAAACATTTAACTTACCCGACAGATAGTAAAATTGAAATAAAAAACAACCTCAGAAAATCCACTCCAAATAAACAAAACTCTAGAGTCCTTAATAAAGGTAAAGAAACAAGGACTTTAAGTGCATAAAAATGGCCCCTTAAATAAGTTTATTTATAATACTCATTATTATCAACTAATTATTATTTTGTAATCATTGTATAGCTTTTGACTGCGTGTAATTAGTCATTCAATTTATATTAATACAATTAAAAATAAAGATAATTACAGTGGGGGCATTTTTACATACTTATCGTCCCTTTTCCTAAGCTATGACACCCTTATTGCTGTACTTTTTACATAGACATAAAGAACGATCTTTGGGACAAATGTAATTCTACAAAAACGTTTTACTGTAACCATTGTGGCAGTCGTTGGAATGAAAAAATTAAAATAAAAAACATTACAAATTTAAAATCTCGTAACAGTGAATATGGAAACTCAAAAATTATGTTGAAAAAATGTCCCAAATGCCGAAAATACACCTACATTATAAACAAACGACAACCGAAAAGCGCACGATACAACGTTAGCAAAAAAAGTACGTATCATATATGAAGTAGAGGTAATTTAGAATGACATGAACCTTCACTTTGGATTGCGCAGTGACAAATGTCTCCTCTTTCATTGATTTCTATAATTGTACGGTTTATCTGGAGCTCAATCCCTATCCCTGGCTGTACAGCGAGATACACAGCAGTCACTGTTTTCTAAATAATTGTAATAAGACCCGCCTCTCGTGCGTCTCAAGGTCCATGTCATTCTAAACTACTTATACCTATTTACATATTTAAAGACGTAATAACAAAAGAATTAACTTCTATAGAATGCGTTTCTAAAACGTCTGTTACGTCTTCAAGTTGTTTAAATGTCGCTGACAATACTTCATGCCATGAAATTATATTGTCGATGATGAACCCGAAAAGACAGGAGATACAAAAAAGTACGAAGGAAGATTTTTACAATGCCCAGTATGTCGCGGATTTGAGAGAGGAAACGTTTTTGAAAATGATGGAGCCCAAAAGGCGTCCGGCAACACGAGACTTCCCAACGATGCAGAAGTTAACAAAACAGGGTGAGTTATCAAAATAATTTAATTTCATTGACTTGGAAAGAGCTGAGATCGATAAGAATATGAAAATGGATGAAATTGCACGGCTGCAATAGTTAAATACAATTATTATTATGATGGCCCTTCGGGGGTGGGGGTGAGTGAATCGAAAAAGAAGGTCTCCCCCACCACTGTACCATAAAAAGGCGGTCTCAACCCCATAAAAAGTTATTGGGGTTCAATGTTAATAAATATGCCAATTTTTATACATTTCTAGGCATGTAAATATTTATATAGTCATTCTTACAATATTCAAAGGTAAACCTAATGAAAAATACATAAAAATATTAAGAAAGTTATATAAAACATTATTAAAATATCTTTATCAATAGGGTAGGTTAGGTTAGGTTATCGACTCTTGTTCAAGTGACCACCCTGTTTCGATCCCCCACCTCCACCCGCTTGAAAATATTTCTTTTATTGAATTTTATTTGAATTATAGTGTATGAAAATTGTCAAAATAATCAACTTTCAACCCCCATAAC